TTTCTGCAATCTAGTACTTCCAGTGGCGCCAACGTTCGGCTACTATCATATCCGTAAAATTAGACATTTTTAACCTATAATTCAATTGACAGTTTGTACCCAAGCCAACTAGTTTTGTTTGCATAGTATTTTAAAAGAAGTTATTTTGTAAGAAAATGGAAATTTCGCGTGAAAATTTTCGGGCAATGATTTTTTACGATTACAAATGTAATCTAACTCCGAAACAATGCATCGATCGACTTCATTTGGCTTTTGGGGATGAAGCACCATCCAATAGGACTGTTTATAATTGGTTTGCCGAATTCCAGCGTGGACGTACAATACCTTTCTTAGTGAATTTCGTGAAGGTCGTCCATCCACGTCTGTTGTTGCCACTGATGTTGATGCTGTGCGTGAAATGATTGAGCGAGACCGACATATAACATACCGTGAGATTCAGACATCTTTAGGCATTGACATGAAAGCAATACATATAATACGATTTTGCATGACCACTTGAGCGTACGGAAACTTTGCAGTCGTTGGATCCCACACAATTTGACTGAAGCTCAAAAACAGGCTCGTGTTAAATAGAGCAAAGAAATGCTCAAAAAATTCAACCGAGGTCGGTCAAATTTGGGCTACAACATCGTTACTGAGGACGAAACATGGATCTATTCGTATGAGCCCGAAAGTAAATAACAATCCACTGTTTGGGTATTTCAAAGTAAACCGAAACCAACAAAAGTTGTTCGATCACGCAGTGCTGCCATTATTATTAGATCCATTATCATTATTATTTTTGTAGATTAATTTCTTAATCCTCTCATTTATTACTTTAAAAATGTAATCCAAGGGATAGTCATTTTGTAATAAAATATTAATAATTAATTCAATGTTCTTTTGGTGAAAATCCGGATGTGAAAGAAGAAATGCTTTGTCGATCAAATTTGAAATTATACCTTTTTTTTGATAGATTTTTCAGGCAACAGAATCTTCTATCTTGTGCGTACGCTCTCTAGAGAATTACCTGTTAACATTTTAAGTAAGTTTGTTGATACTCAAGATAAAAAACTTTATTCTGTATTTACATTTAATAGAAGATTGACAAAAAAATTTTATGATTTATTTCCAAAGAAAATAAACAAAAAATCAATAATATTAAAAATTGAATACTGTTGTTTCGAAACGGTTTTATCTCATCACGTTAATATACTATATCATACGCTGATATATTGTACATATACGCGCATTACATATAAAGAATTGATATTTTGATATCCACCACAAGTTTGTAACTTATGTTATTAAAAAGCAGGAAAGAAAGATAGGGTTCCTTTTAAAATTCTTTCATGCTTCTTGTTGTGCCTACTTGTAATAATATAACTGAAGTACTTAGGTGCTCATTGAAATATACTCTTGCGCATATAATCTAAGGCTAAAGTTTGCCAATTTTGCTGAGAATAAAAAAATATTTGTATAACTATATATATATATCTATTTTAATGTTTAGAAATATTGTTTTTTTTTATTTTCGCTTTTTCCTCTCTCTTTAGTATTTGCAAGTGAATGTTGGTGATTAAAAATATTTAGAAGAATGATTGCGTGAAAGTCACCAACCGCTCAAAAAAAAAAGGTTTATTGCATTGACTAGTGCAATGGTCAGAGGTACTCCCCATCTCTGGCCTAAAATGTCTTGTCGGAAGGCCGAAATCTTTTGATGCGGCTTCGACACTCATTCCTCTGTGGGTTTGACATTTATTGTCATTTTACCGCAGGTTGAACAGTTTTTGCAGTCGTCCATAGATTCTCTATGGACGAGGCAAGGACCGCGTAGCATCCATTGTTTAAGATTTTTGCAATGGTCGCAGATTTTTAACGAGATGCTTTAGCAGACCCAGTGTCGTCTTAGCAATGTAACACCGAGGTTTCAGTTAAATATCGAAACTGTCAACTCAATCTTTCCATTTAAATGGAGTGCGAAAATAGCCCTTCAAAAATATGTACTTGATTTTTCATTTGCTGCTATTTTTCTTTGTGCTAACTTCAGTTTTGAGCTAGCACAGCCATAGGTTTTAGCAAATCGGCTGAAGCAAAAAAATCGGTAATAGAGCAAAAAATTAGCAAAAAAATATGGTATAGGTCGCATTTGATTGTGCTAAAGTGCCTGTGCCAGCTTAATATACGTAAATATACTTTATATGCATATATATATAT